GAAAAGTTACAAAAAGCATACCACATGAGTATAAAATGGTCTAAGGCCATGTAAGACTGAGAATTATTTAGAGTCGATTTAGGCCGTAGCCCATATTTACATATAAAAATGCACACAGAGGCTATAAGAAATTGAAATTTGTTACTTTTTGCTCATTTCTATGCTAAGATGTCATGATACAAGAAGTCTAATTGCAAAAGGACTCTTGAATTTAAATTTTTTTGGCAGACAGTATGGTCTGATGACCAGTTTTTCACTTTTCAATGGAAAACTTGCATGTAGTTTTAGTCTCATTTGGCATATATTTGAACCACTTACTATCCTAAAGAAGAAAATTATGGTAGCATATGAAATGAATAGGGTGAACTGATCATTGTAAAGTGCTTTTTTTACAGATTTAGTGAAATATTTGTGATGGACTACAGATTTTATGTACAAAGCTCTTCACATTTCACATACATCAAACAGGCCGTTTAACCAGGGACATAAATACAAATATTCTGCTCATTTTTTCTGTGATAATCTACTTTTCTCTAGATTCCGAGTTCACAAATGGTTAATTAAATTTGATTTAAGCATAGAAACACAAATATCAGGAACATAAAAAGCTGTCAGATAGAAAGTCAGCATGGCTCTTAGGCATAAATTGGAAACTGCTTTAAAATGCTTATTTTAGCCGTATAATGCCAAAATTGGACATTTTAACAGAATTTCTATCAAACAAAGATGTAAATCCTTTACTTTTATTGAGTTTGACAAATTGAAACCAGCAAACCATTCAGGAAAGTTGCCAAAGTACAGAATCTACATTTACGGAATTCATCTCTTAGGCCCGAGAACACAGTTATTTCGTAGTGCATTTCTTTTAGACAATAAATTCAAATTAAAAAAATTGCACCTGCTCTATCTCAAAAAGATTTTTACAGTGTAGTGTACTACTATTGATACAAATAATATCAAAATTATAGAAACTTCTACCAGCTCTAACTCAAAATATTGACAGTTCTGTGTTAAGGGGGGCTAAAATTCAGTTTGACAGCTTCAGACATTCTAATTTTTGACCTTTTTTAACTGGACCAAATCACTACTTAACATAAAGATTCAGCACCCAAATTTTTTTAACATGTAATTTCATCCCCTCACTTAATATTTCATGCATAAAATATCAAGAAATAAATTGGGAAAGTGTATCAAAAAAAAATGCAAGTTATACACTGTTCACACTAGGGACTATATTTGTAGACAACGAAAACCAAAGGACGATAACTGTGTCCTTGGACCACATAACAGACTTATCAGTCTCCATTGTTTCAGGTCTTTTCTATTACCCTTATTTTTATAATTTAATGATATTAGTCCTGTCTTCATTGATTCCGTCAATTCTCCGTTCAAGTACACATTATTCAATACTGCAACCAGGTCTTCCCCTATTATATTCCAGAATTTGGTATAAAAGGACTTTCCAATTCCATTAACTCCAGAAGATTTATTATTTTTGAATTCTTTTAATAATTTAAGACATTCATCTTGTGTTATAAATGTATCAAATTTTATATCTTCTTCTTTAGTTTATTTAGTTCAAGGTCTTCTAAATAATCAGTCATTGATTGTCTATCAATGTTTAGTGACTTATATAAATCGGAATAAAAGTCTGTCACTACTTTAATCACCTCACTTTTAGATGTGCATGACTTCCCGTTTTTGTCTAATACACTTTCTACTTCTCGCTTTCTCCTATTTTTTCCACTTCCTTTTTAAAAAAGTCAATGTTATCTAGGTCTTCTTAGTAATAATCTTGTCTTGATCGTATTATTGTACCCATTTTTTCCTTATTTTCTAAATCAATTATGATTTCACTTAAGTTATTAATAGTGACTTGGTCAGGCTGAGTTTTAATTTCTTCATTCTCAAGTTGTATATATGTATCTGAAAGTTCTTTTCTTTCATGAGCTACTAATTTTTTGGAGAAACGTATTGTCATTTCTTTAATTCTTTTCTTTCCATTTTCCCACCAATCTAATATATTATAGTTACTCTTCCTTTGTTTCCAATTTATCCAGAAGTTATTTATGTACCCAATCTAATATATTATAGTTACTCTTCCTTTGTTTCCAATTTATCCAGAAGTTATTTATGTACTCGATATAAAGTTCTTTGTCCAATAAACTATCATTCATTTTCCAATAACCATTTCCCCATTTAGTCTTTTGAAGTTTCAAAGTTATAAATACAATCTTGTTGTCACTATATTGATAGGGTATATGCTTTAGATCTCTTATTTTATGCTTTAAGGCTTCAGATATACATATTTTGTCTATTCTAGTTTTAGCACCTCTATTACACTTATTTTTTTAGGATATTTATATCTATAGCTATCCAATGTATTTAACATGCTACACAATTTTTTATATAACAAAATTATATTGTTATTAAGTATTCCATTTGAGTTTTTTGTACCAATCTGTTTATCTATACAATTAAAATCTCCTAACATAATATTTCTGTACGATTCTACATTTACACTTGCACAGTATTCTATCATTTCTCTATAAAAAATTCCTTGTTGTCCTGTGGATTTTGTAGGACTATAAATGTTAAATAGATTTAGTACTTTGTCATCAGCTTTAAAACTAGTATGTACCAATCTACCATTTAAAATATGGTTGTTAAAGTAATGGTTTGTACATTCAATATCATTTTTAACCAATGTAACCACACCTTTTGTATGCAACTCTCATTGAGAAAAATATATTTTAAAGTCTGTATTATTCTCTAAATCGCTAATAACATTTTGCTTGATATAACCACATTCCTGCAAACAAATGATTTCACAATCTCAATAATCTTTAATAATACCATCAATTTTTGTTTCAAAACTCCTTCTTATATTCACACTTATAATTTTCAAAATACATAACATTAGTAGTGTGCTATAAAGAAATGTTAGTTTAGCAGGCATCATTTTGAAGTTTGAGTTATAGGTGTTTGTACCTTTGTTTTCTTTTGTAAATGTTCTTGCTTTTTGCCTTCTCCTGTTGAATTTCTTGACCTTTTATTTGCCAATGTAGTTTTACAATCTGTTTTCGGTTCATCTTTTTTAGTCTTATCAATTTGTGTCTCACCCTTTTTTTGTGTATTTTTAGCACTTTTTGTCTTTATCGCCTGTCTTATCTTCAAATTTCTTTTTCCCTACTTTAGATTTGTCTTTCTTTTTCTTAGCTTCTGTATTCTTGTTTTCCATGTGCTCGTTTTCTTTTGTCTGTATTTCTTTATCTACATTTTCGACAATATCTACAGTTTCTGCTTCACTAATTTGTTTATTTTCGGTAAAACGTAGGTATTTTCTGTTTCGTCAGCTTCAACTGTTTTTTCCTTAGGTTTACAAGATATTTCAATTATTTCACCAATTTGTAACTCATTCTGTTGTATGATTTCTTGTTTGTTTGTATTGCTGTCTTGAGTGTCTTGTTCCCATTATTCTTCATTTTCCCAATTGTTTTCGTATGTTGTGTTCCCTGTTTGGTATTGATTATCTGATTCTAAAATGTTATCAAAATTTTCACTTGTGACAAATTCCTGCGTATTTTCTACATTATCATTTTTCGGTGGTGACGGAAAACCCTGTCCAAAATACTGAATTCCAGAGTCAAAGCTAAAGAATTTAGGAGTTGTGCAAGAATTGTCTGTATTTTGACAGTATGCTTCAGCATAATCAGAAGTATGATATAGGTTTGGATTTTCTTGATCTCTGTTGTCATTGTCATTTGTGTTATTTGTATTATGTACATTTTTGTCATTATAACATTCTGTAGATTTGTGTCCATAACAGCCACACTTGAAACAATAGTCTTTTTGTTCCCATCTATGTTTCGGTTCATTTCTGTAATCTTTGGCAATATGACCGTAGTCATTGCATTTGAAGCATTTTTTTTAGATTTTGTTGACCCTCATATCTTATAGTTACAAGCTGCCCCTGAATGTATATTTTTCTTGGAATCGGTTTTTTCAATGATGCAATTCTAACAATTCTGACACCTGACTGAATAGAAGGAAAGTTTTTAAAGGTAGGCGATATCAATTTGATTATTTTTCCATATTGACTTATTTTTTTGTGGACAATTGCAGGTTTAACTTCAAACGGCATACCGTATATAAGGACATCTATGAAATCTTTTTTGTTTTCCCATTTGAGAGGACCAGCCTTTTCAGTTGTAAATTCAGTGTTTCCTATTTGAAATCTAGCAAATTCATTCAAAAGACTTTGCAGACTTGTGGTGTCTTTGCAAGTTACCAAGTAATGTTCTTGATTTGTTCTCTGAAGATAAATTATTAAGTCTGATACATTAATAATTGTTTGAAAATATAACTAACTGTGCATTACCCATGATGAACTGAGAATGAACATCACAGGAAAAATCTGGCTATTTATAATAATGCTTACTTGTTTGGTATAGCTTGTGGTGTTCAGTTAAGAGACTGAGCATAAGTAAATAGTGTTCAAAGCTAATCAGAGTTCAAAGTTTCTTGGCTTGGCTTTATCTATTAGGCCAATTTAGCACATACTTACAACTTCTCGTCCAATCAAGTTGCTTGAATTTGCTTTCTAATTTTCATAGTACATACTTTTCCCGTGTACTAAGTAACTACGCATCAATGACCACAAGGGTAAGATTTCATTGTATCGTAATCAAGATATTATAACAAAAAATGCCACTGGCTATTTTGAAATAAAATGCTGTTTTCCAAATTAAATTAAATAGTTTGTAATTAGTTTTCACATTGATTTTTAGCTCACCTGGCCCGAAGGGCCAAGTGAGCTTTTCTCATCACTTGTCGTCCGTCGTCCGTCGTCGGCGTTAACTTTTTACATTTTGAACTTCTTCTAGAGAACCACTGAATGGAATGAAACCAAACATGGCATGAATGTTCCTTATGAGGTGCTGACCAAGTGTTGTAACTTTGTAGCGGATCCATCATCCAAGATGGCCGCCACGGGGGGACTTAGTTTAACATAGGACCCTATGGGAAATACATACAAATGTCTTCTTTTAGAGAACCACTGAATGGAATGAAACCAAACATGGCATGAATGTTTCTTATGAGGTGCTGACCGAGTGTTGTTACTTTGAAGCCGATCCATGATCCAAGATGGCCGCCAGCGGGGGACTTAGTTTAACATAGGACCCTACAGGAAATACATACAAATGTCTTCTTTTAGAGAACCACTGAATGCAATGAAACCAAACATGGCATGAATGTTCCTTATGAGGTGCTGACCGAGTGTTGTTACTTTGAAGCCGATCCATAATCCAAGATGGCCGCCTGCAGGGGACTTAGTTTAACATGGGACCCTATGAGAAATACATACAAATGTCTTCTTTTAGAGAATCACTGAATGGAATGAAACCAAACATGGCATGAATGTTCCTTATGAGGTGCTGACCGAGTGTTGTTACTTTGAAGCCGATTCATAATCCAAGATGGCCGCCAGCGGGGGACTTAGTTTAACATGGGACCCTATGGGAAATACATACAAACTTTTTAAATAGACTTATTAAGACGGGATATAGTTACGATACTGTTGTCAGGTCATTAAAGATTGCATATTTTGGCGTTAATATTGATTCACTTATAGGGTCTTTGCATCGGCACTAAACACATTTATTTAAAAACCAGTTGTTGGCATGACACGGGTTATGTTCTTCTCATATATGTTATGATGGTATGATACTAAACCCCTAACGGGAAGGATTGTGCCTGATATTCATATGATGAAGACATAATCTTTCAATCAGTTTAATTGAAGTCTGGAGCTGGCATGTCAGTTAACTGCTAGTAGTCTGTTGTTATTTATGTATTATTGTCATTTTGTTTATTTTCTTTGGTTACATCTTCTGACATCAGACTCGGACTTCTCTTGAACTGAATTTTAATGTGCGTATTGTTATGCGTTTACTTTTCTACATTTGCTAGAGGTATAGGGGGAGGGTTGAGATCTCATAAACATGTTTAACTCCGCCGCATTTTTGCGCCTGTCCCTAGTCAGGAGCCTCTAGCCTTTGTTAGTCTTGTATTATTTTTAATTTTAGTTTCTTGTGTACAATTTGGAGTTTAGTATGGTGTTCATTATCACTGAACTAGTATATATATTTGTTTAGGGGCCAGCTGAAGGACGCCTCTGGGTGTGGGAATTTCTCGCTGCATTGAAGACCTGTTAGTGACCTTCTGCTGTTGTCTGTTCTATGGTCGGGTTGTTGTCTCTTTGACACATTCCCCATTTGCATTCTCAATTTTAAACTTCTTCTTTTAGAGAACCACTGAATGGAATGAAACCAAACATGGGAAGAATGTTCCTTATGAGGTGCTGACCAAGTGTTGTTACTTTGAAGCTGATCCATCATCCAAGATGGCAGCCAGCGGGGGACTTAGTTTAACATAGGACCCTATGGGAAATACATACAAATGTCTTCTTTTAGAGAACCACTGAATGCAATGAAACCAAACATGGCATGAATGTTCCTTATGAGGTGCTGACCAAGTGTTGTTACTATGAAGCCGATCCATAATCTAAGATGGCCGCCAGCGGAGGACTTAGTTTAACATAGGACCCTATGAGAAATACGTACAAATGTTTTCTTTTTGAGAACCATTGAATGGAATGAAACCAAACATGGCATGCATGTTCCTTTTGAGGTGCTGACCAAGTGTTGTTACTTTGAAGCTGATCCTTCATCCATGATGGCTGCCAGATGGGGACAATGTTTAACATAGGACCCTATGGGAAATACATACAAATGTCTTCTTTTAGAGAACCACTGAATGGAATGAAACCAAACATGGCATGAATGTTCCTTATGAGGTGCTGACCGAGTGTTGTTACTTTGAAGCCGATTCATAATCCAAGATGGCCGCCAGCGGGGGACTTAGTTTAACATAGGACCCTATGGGAAATACATACAAATGTCTTCTTTTAGAGAACCACTGAATGGAATGAAACCAAACATGGCATGAATGTTTCTTATGAGGTGCTGACCGAGTGTTGTTACTTTGAAGCCGATCCATGATCCAAGATGGCCGCCAGCGGGGGACTTAGTTTAACATAGGACCCTATGGGAAATACATACAAATGTCTTCTTTTAGAGAATCACTGAATGGAATGAAACCAAACATGGCATGAATGTTCCTTATGAGGTGCTGACCGAGTGTTGTTACTTTAAAGCCGATCCATAATCCAAGATGGCCGCCAGCGGGGGACTTAGTTTAACATGGTACCCTACAGGAAATACATACAAATGTCTTCTTTTAGAGAACCACTGAATGCAATGAAACCAAACATGGCATGAATGTTCCTTATGAGGTGCTGACCGAGTGTTGTTACTTTGAAGCCGATCCATAATCCAAGATGGCCGCCTGCAGGGGACTTAGTTTAACATGGGACCCTATGAGAAATACATACAAATGTCTTCTTTTAGAGAATCACTGAATGGAATGAAACCAAACATGGCATGAATGTTCCTCATGAGGTGCTGACCAAGTGTTGTTACTATGAAGCTGATCCATAATCCAAGATGGCCGCCAGCGGGGGACTTAGTTTAACATAGGACCCTATGGGAAATACATACAAATGTCTTCTTTTAGAGAATCACTGAATGGAATGAAACCAAACATGGCATGAATGTTCCTTATGAGGTGCTGACCAAGTGTTGTTACTATGAAGCTGATCCATAATCCAAGATGGCCGCCAGCAGGGGACTTAGTTTAACATTGGACCCTATGGGAAATACATACAAATGTCTTCTTTCAGAGAACCACTGAATGGAATGAAACCAAACATGGCATGAATGTTTCTTATGAGGTGCTGACCGAGTGTTGTTACTTTGAAGCCGATCCATAATCCAAGATGGCCGCCTGCAGGGGACTTAGTTTAACATGGGACCCTATGAGAAATACATACAAATGTCTTCTTTTAGAGAACCACTGAATGGAATGAAACCAAACATGGCATGAATGTTCCTTATGAGGTGCTGACCGAGTGTTGTTACTTTGAAGCCGATCCATAATCCAAGATGGCCGCCAGCGGGGGACTTAGTTTAACATGGGACCCTATGGGAAATACATACAAACTTCTTCTTTTAGAGAACCACTGAATGGAATGAAATCAAACATGGGAAGAATGTTCCTTATGAGGTGCTTACCAAGTGTTGTTACGTTGAAGCTGATCCATCATCCAAGATGGCAGCCAGCGGGGGACATAGTTTAACATAGGACCCTATGGGAAATACATACAAATGTCTTCTTTTAGAGAACCACTGAATGCAATGAAACCAAACATGGCATGAATGTTCCTTATGAGGTGCTGACCAAGTGTTGTTACTATGAAGCCGATCCATAATCTAAGATGGCAGCCAGTGGGGGACATAGTTTAACATAGGACCCTATGGGAAATACATACAAATGTCTTCTTTTAGAGAACCATTGAATGGAATGAAACCAAACATGGCATGCATGTTCCTTTTGAGGTGCTGACCAAGTGTTGTTACTTTGAAGCCGATCCATAATCCAAGATGGCCGCCAGCGGAGGACTTAGTTTAACATAGGACCCTATGAGAAATACGTACAAATGTTTTCTTTTAGAGAACCATTGAATGGAATGAAACCAAACATGGCATGCATGTTCCTTTTGAGGTGCTGACCAAGTGTTGTTACTTTGAAGCTGATCCTTCATCCATGATGGCTGCCAGATGGGGACAATGTTTAACAAAGGACCCAATGGACAATACATACAAATGTCTTCTTTTAGAGAACCACATACTGAATGGATTGAAACCAAACATGGCATGAATGTTCCTTATGAGGTGCTGACTAAGTTTTGTTACTTTGAAGCTGATCCTTCATCCATGATGGCCGCCAATGGGGGGACTTCCTTTAACATAAGACCCTATGGGAAATACATACAAATTCTCGCTGCATTGAAGACCTGTTGGTGGCCTTCTGCTGTTGTCTGTTCTGTGGTCGGGTTGTTGTCTCTTTGACACATTCCCCATTTCCATTCTCAATTTTAAATGCTTCTTCTAGAGGTGCACTGAATGGAATGAAACCAAAACATGGCATAAATGTTTCTTATGAGGTGCTGATTAAGTGTTGCAACTTTGTTGCTGATTTACTGTTCAAGATGGCCACCAGGATTTTTTTATTAAATTACAGGACCAATATTAAACCAAATTTGGCCTCACTCATTATTAGGGTATCTGTTATGATTTTAATCTATTTTTACATGATTTCCAAAACCAAAGTAGAATCAGGTGAGCGACGCAGGCTCTTGAGAGCCTCTAGTTGAATATCCTGGTATTAAAATCTTTGGATCTAAAAAATGTTTTTGACGATTGCAAGTTTCTTTCATTTAAATAAAAAGTAACAAATATGGTTCTTTATACCTTGATTAGAGTACAACGCCATCTTAAAATTGTGATAATTTATCATCCATGCAATTACTCGTACACAAAAAAGTGTGTACTATGAAAACTTGTGAATGGAAATTAAGGCAACTTGATCTATTTCATCATGAATTGATTGATTATTGGTTGCTTAATGTCCAGTGGCAAATATTTCATGCATGTTCAGGACGATGTCATGAATTGAAAAACTGTTATAATGTCTGAAGAGAATGTGCCACCTATATATATATATATATATATCTTTTAGTTTTTTTTACTTTGAAATAAAAAAAAAAACATAAACCCTAGTATTTTTGATCTATTGGTAGTTGCTTTCTATTGACTATCCGCTAGACTATCTATGGAGACATACCTGGCAGGGATGGATCCAGCCATTTTTAAAAGGGCATTCCAACCCTGGATAAAAGGGGGGTTCCAACCAAATGTCCCCATTCAAAAGCATTGATCATTCAAAAAAGGGGGTTTTCAAAACCCGGGAGCCCCCCCCCCCCCCCCCCCCCCCTGGATCCGCCACTGCATACTATCTATGTTTTAAATTTATTATAGCTTTAGTTTTACTGTGAAATTGGAAAATGTTTTCAAGACATGTAAAGCTTCCACTGCAATTTAATTATTGCCTGCTTTTGGTCAATTTATTTTGTCATCTTACCATGTAAAGAAGTACATGTATAGTAAAGCACCGCTTTATATCAATCAACATACTTACACTAGCAGCTACCATCTTTTCATTCTGGAGTCAAGGGCCTTTTGAAATCACATATTTTACAATGATACTAGTGAGTAGATTTACAAAACTTCATTAATGAGCTACGTTTTACAAACACCTGTGATACAAGTAGTCAGCCAAAATAAACTATCAATAGACCAATTAAAAGATTACTCGAGTTGTAAATATGTGCTAAATTGGATAGTCTATGAAAAGGTATATACTATGAAATTAAGAGCTCGGGACAAGCCCCTCGCTCTAAATTTCATAGTATATACCTTTCCATAGACTAACCTAGACTTATACACTTATCTATAATAATTAAGTACTTTTAGCATTACTTTTGATATTATATTCATTTTAAAAAAATCATAATTTATTAAAATAATGAAATTAATAAATTCTTTGAGGCTGAAGTTGAAAGTGTTGGTTACTATTAATTTTCTTTTAAATACGTTTTTTTCCAGACTTTTAAATGCTTTTACTACTTTTTCTTTTAAATAATTTTATTTTCCAGACTACTAAATGCTTTTACTGCCTTTTCTTTTAAATAATTTTATTTTCTAGAAATTCCATAATATTAGAAACACTTAATTTTAATACTTGATGCATGTTTTCAAACAAACAAAAAAACCCATTTTTTTACATATAAATAATAATTTTTATTTAATTTCCACAGGTAAATTTACCTTTGACCCAATTACACACTAATGACTAAAACAACATATCTTGCAATAACAACATATATTGTTCTTCCACTAATCTCCCATGGGTGTCTTCAACCTATGCCAACATTTGAAAAATATATATTCAACCTATGCCTACAAACAAAATACAATAGGTGTTGTTATAACAATTAATAATTAATTACAGGTAAAATACAGTCAGTATTTTAAAGCTTTAAAAATTACTCCTTTTGAATTAGAAACAATAGTTAAATACTTGCAATATTATGTTGTAGTAAATATGATATTTGAAAAAGATAGACAAAAATAATACAAAAGAACACTTCTGTATGGTAAAAGAAACAACAGATATAAATAAAAAATTACAAAACTAACATACAAAAAAATTTTAAAAAAACCCTCCTTATTTGTGAATTTTTTAATATAAAAGATTTGTTCACGTATGACATGTTGCCGAGTCTCCAAGCTAAAAAGTGTATTAAATCTGTATTTATCTACATTTAAATTAAAATTTTATTTTTGATAAGTTGGTTTATTATTTTTAGGTATAAATTACATATATATATAAATTGGCTTTTACTAGTTGTGACAGAGTTCTTTCATTCAGTATCATTTCTATTTATAAGAAACATTATTCCCTGTTGAACTTAGTAATACACTTATTTAAAAAAGAAAAGTACACTCATTATGTTTGGTCAAAGAAAAGTGCTCTATTGCCAAATTCAATATAAAGAGAATTACGATTTTCGAAGCACACATGAGTACCAGCGTAATTATAATAATGTATATAATAGCAAGGATACAAATCCTTGATTATAGGTATGAGCGGTAATATGTCAGACCGCTTCTGATATTTTCAGATTTGGAAAGGCCATATATGTACTTTCTAGAAAATATCTTTCTAGAATGTATGATATGTGTAACCAATAATATATGATCCGTTTGTCAGACTATTTAAGGTGGATCATCACTATATATTACCTCAGATAGAATGTTTTTATAGTTTGCCAAAATGTAGATTCTGCGATGCCTTTTTAAAAGATGTAATAAAACGTATGGGTCACCACGCTATTTTTAAGCTACAAGTCGTGCAATATTTCTCAATTTTGCATAGATTATTCACGAAAAAACACTTTTATGTGAATAAAAAGAAATCTATGAGATAGAATTTTGAAATAGAATATGAGAGGATAGGATTTACAATATGCTTTAAGAATGTAAATAGGCAAAATGGTGTCGCCGAACTTGTTTTCTTGTTACAAGTAAAAAAAATAAAAATTTCACATGTCAGTATATACGAAATATGTGTTTTTGTATATTTATTTAGAATACATGAAAATGCTGAATATAGCTTTTGTAATAAGAAGTAAAACAAATATATACAAATACATACAAAAACATATTTATTCCATAAATACTGAACTGTGAATTAAATTAACTTTTCCATGTGAAGCAGATTTTAAATAGTGTTACTGTATATTCATTATTACCATGCATTTGATGTAATTCTACTTAAAATATCATCAAATATTTTCATCATAATTTTCATATTGTTTGATATTCACGTGATACTGGTATACATGTATATATTTTGTTTTATTTTGTTCATTCCTAATACAAAAAAGAACAGCAACACACAGAGTTGCCTGCATTTTCACAGTGACAAAATAGTTTTGAGTACACTTAAATGCTAAGTTTAAACTGGTTGTAAATTGATTGGCCACTAATAATTTTTTGTTTTTATAACACATAATCTGTTATATTCAATTCAACCTATGCCAACATTTTTTCATACAATTTTATACCTAAATTTCAAAATGTTGGCATAGGTTGAATGAACCATAATACCCTCCCATGTAGGAATAGCCAGAATAGTAAAATACAAAATGTAGGAATAGCCAGAACAAAGACACCATTGGGAACTATTAATTATGTATATAAAGTTTGATTACACTAAGTGCTTTTAAATAATTTTCACCTGTTATCAAGATAACAAAGCATGTAGTAAATATCAATCACACAATTATAATTAATATTGGAGTGACAGATTTATTTGAAAATTTTCTGTTTCCTAAGTGTTGTTGATGATCAGCTCTGTACATGCATGTTGTAGGACTGTATAAATATAGTTTGAAATTTACTGTTCATTATTAGACATTTTGAAGATAATTACAGATAAGTTTTATAGATTTTTAAAAGACATTGTATTAATGATAACTGACATTCTGGATTTTTATGCCCCTGCCGTAGTGGAGGGTGCATTAAGTTTTACCCTTATCAGTCTGTACTTTCGGACGTACGTCCGTACGTCCCAAAATTGGTTTCCGTTCTCTAACTTTAGTTTGCCTCAACCAAATGTTATGAAACTTATCCACAATGCTTATTACCACAAAACACAAATCAAGTTTGAATTTTGGTGGCGTCACTTTCACCGTTCTAGAGTTATGCCCCTTTACAAATGGAAAAATTGCTGAATTTTTCGTTTCCGTTCTCTAACTTTAGTTTGCCTCAACTAAATGTTATGAAACTTATCCACAATGCTTAATACCACAAAAC